CTCTTACTGAAACGTCTCGCCACAGAGTCGCGGTTTGCACCAGGGCAGAGGAAGAAAGGAACCGGAGGAACCGGCGCGTTCAAGGTCAACTACAGCCAGGAGCGGAAACAAACTGGAGTTGAAAATAGTATAAGAAAGTTTTGTAGTATCCCTACTCTTTCCAACAGGATTATGCATTGCCAAAAGTTCTACAATGCCTCGCAAGGTGATACACGACAGCAATGGCTGGACATGTATGTACATGTATGTATGTGTGTATGTATCTCGGGTGTTTCGGCGGAGAAAGCTGCAGCATCCATCCTGTAGCTGTACCTTGGTGTGCCAAGAAATAATAACGAGCATCCTAATATTAACGAGAAAAACTGCAACTGGCAATTGATCATTCACGTAATGATTTATAAGATAGACTGAGATAATAGGACGGAAATTGTACGAAGCTTAAAAACTAATGTAAAAACCTTGTTTGAGTACTTCCTGGATTAAAAGCAGACCAATACAAAGAGATAAACAATCAAAATGTTAGGACGTTTTCAATGTGTGAGTTCTGAGCCTATGCATTACGCAAGGTTAACATTCATCTAAGATATACACGCTCATATTATACATGGTTAGGTGAACAATTATATACGCGATATACACGATATATAAGGTTAACATTCATCTAAGATATACACGATATACACGATATATAAGGTTAACAATGATCTTAGATATACACGTCCCACACTAACCACAGCCAATATACCGGCAAATTGTCCTGAGGTCATTCACCCCGTTACTATCGAGTACGTCATCGCGTGCGCTATGAATCATGGGAAACCTACCGAAGCTTATTTGCCCTTCTTTCCTGCGAACGTAACGGACCTGCTCTGTCTTCACGACGCCGTGAGAACTCACCTGTACGTCTTGTGACGTCAGAACTAACATCCATCGGTTCCTGGAGAGTCGAAGAGCCCCACAGAGACCTTAAAGACTGGGAAAAGGTCGTCAGACTCTCCCAAGACACTTCTGGAAAAGTTCAGGTAAACCCGGAAGTAACAGGTGTGTAACTTTGCACCTGCCAGATGTAGCGGCGCTTAAAGTGCATAAACTAAAGAAACTTTTACCACAGCCCTTTAGCACACAGATAAACTGTTGATGTTGAAGGAATTAGAAAGTATTGACGCTATGTCTGTATGGCTTTGAAATTATCGCTCCTTTGTTGGTACAGTTTGATCTAGTGTTCGGTAACGCTTTAGAGGCCATGCCAGTAATTTATAAATCAGGTATGAGTGCGCTGTAGATGATGCTTCATACCCGTAGCCAGGGGGGGTTCGGAAAATTTTCCGGACCCCCCTAGGAACCTCGCGCCTACGGCGCTCGAGGTCCCCTCAGCCAGTGGGAAGAACCCCCCCCCCTCAAAATCCTGGCTAGTCGGGCATGTGCTCGGTCTGTTATACTACCACAATATTGTTTAGGGAAAGAAATGATATATTTGTAAGCATGTGTTTGCGCTACAGGAAAGCACTAGATCCATCTAGTCTTAGTTACGACAGTGTCACTAGGCAGGTGGTGTGTATCTATCTATAGGGTCAGACCAGGCATGGACGGAAGAGAACAGGAGGACATGGAGGAGAACAAGGAGTCCAGGTCAGAGAAATCCGGGTCTAAAGAGTCAAGTTGGAAGAAAAAGAAGGAAGACGAGGAGGTAGAGTAAAGAATACATAAAGAGTAGTGATTTTACACACCGACAAGCCCCACAGTGCATATGGTGGTGTATATCTATAACAGGCCTTTTCCTCTAGCCTGATGTAGATGGTCCGCCCACCGTAAGTTAACCTCCTTGCGGCAGGACAGCTCGGTAGTCTTTTTTTACATTTATCTGTATATACTTTGATGTGTTTTTTCACGTGTTTGTGTCATGTTATGTGTCTGTATACTATAGGCCGTTGAGTCTGAAATAAACAATAAACAAACATGTGAGCTATACACAAATAGAGGAGATGAATTATATATCTTTTTATATCTTTTTATAACTTTACATTGAGAGACATGAAAGGAAGTGAAATATCAGTATGACGGATAAATGAAGGGATAGGTGTTGAATCTTCTCACATGCCGAGTGTTGTTCTGATTGGCTGAGTGTTGACAGTTGTTTCTCCTGTTCCTGTCTGCCGCCGCTATAGGCGCTGCGGGAGGCTGCAAGGGAAGGAAACACGGACAGAGTAAAGCAGCTGTTAGCGGAGGGAGTCAACCCTAATGCTGCTGGTGGCTTTTTGGTTTGTTGCCATATCTTTCGTAATTTTGCTTCTATATGGTGATGAAACATTTAAGACTGTGCCATGAAAATCAAGAGGCAGGAGGGGCAAACCGAAATATTTCTGTACCATTTTGTAAGATTTGACATTTATCTTCTACATAGCTGTTTATGTGCTGACTACCCTTGGAACTGTCACCATGAGTGCACATTTGTTCTTGCTGTTGTCATGCTGAAGACTATCCGATGTGCTTTACAGCAAGACTCTCCCCCGCACCAGGCAGCCTATAATGCCCTCCATGTGGCCCGGTTTACACTGGGCAAAATAAATCTGTCGGGCGTCAAAACGCGCGGCGGGCTCCAAATCGCCTAGGACACTTTGCGGTTTACACACAGGGGCTGTGGCTCCCGCTGCGTGCCGCTGCTGCGGCGGGCTGTGGCGCGCTACGTCACATGAACCCTGACCCTGCCGCTCCGGTTGTTTGAGTTCTTGTTTCTTCGTTAGAAGTACTTAATTTTATGGACTTGGTTTCGTTCTACCCTTCCTTTTGCATGCTTTTAGCCCGAATCTGCCTCCTTCTTTCTGTTTACACGCATAAAAATGTGTCGTACAGCTTGCGCCGCGACGCCCGACAAATGTATTTTGCCCAGTGCAACGCGGGACCTATGTCAGTTTTACTGACGGCTGGTGCAGATGTGAACGCACAGAACATGGCGGTTGGTACACTGATTGCTGTGATACAAGAACTATCTTTGTGCCATTTTGTAAGATTTGACATTTGCTGTTTAAAATATCACAAACACAAACACTGTTACCAACATTTCATGGGGCACTTTTGTCTGTTCTGGTGCAGATGTGAACGCACGGAACGATAACATAGGTGGACGTCGACTAACTACTTTATATCCGAAACATTTTAATGTCTTATAAAATTTGATATTCATCTTTTACATAACGGTTTACTTGCTAAATTCTGTTAGAATTGTCAACAAAATAACTGCACATTTGTCCGTCCTTTTGTCATGCTGAAGACCATCTGATGTATTTTACAGCAAGACTCTCCCCTGCACCTGGCAGCCGAGAATGGCTACCATGAAACTGTGTCAGTTTTACTGACAGCTGGTGCAGATGTGAACGCACGGGACAAGTGGGTAGGTAGACTGGCTGCTCTGAAACAAGAAAAATATTTCTGTTTCATCTTGTAAGATTTGACACTCATCTTCTCAATCTTCCTACATAGTGGTTTATTTGCTGTCTACAATTTAAACTTGTTGCCAACATGAAGCTGGTATGGATTGGAACGCATGGGACTATACAGCATATTATCAAATGTCGGAATACATCATACATTTTTGGTGTCATAAAGCATGGGTTGCACATACATTATCATGCATATAGTGCCCTGTATATGTACAATTTGGGGTTATTTTCGTTCAACGCTTCACACCGCAGCAAAACGCAACGAATGCGGAAGTAACTACGCCATCGCAAGGCAAAAAGGCCAGGGGTCGATGACCTGATTAAGACACGAAATTGAAAAAAAAAAATATTGTGCAAAAAATGTCAGCAGGACTTAATTTGTAGTGTTACCGTTATTATCCATTATTAGAAACAATCAGTATAGAAGGCAAAGTTATGGAATGGTTTTAAGCGAGCTTGGAGTCACTATGTGATGGAAATATATACATTTACAAAGGGTTGCTATTTGATTATACTGGATGAAGGATGAAAAATTACACTGACAATGCTCCAACAGGAAAACACACCCCTCCACGTCGCAGCTAGATGGGGCCGCCCCAAGTGTGCGGAAATACTGCTGCAGCACGGGGCTGATGCCGGTCTCAGGAACAAGGTCAGTCGGTTCTTCGGCTTCTTTGGTAAATAATTGACCACCAATCCAGAAATACAATATTGGCTTTACTTCTTTTGGGAGTAAAATTTATGATGATGATACTACATACATTACTGTCCGAGGCAAGGAGGAAGCTGTTGTTGGAATATACAAATTACGATGTGTTCTGATATTCCTGCATCGTATCACATAAACACCTACAAACCAATTTCTTTCTAGGCAGGGGTTTTGCTGCTGTACCTACTGTATACTGTGCACTGTATGTTTTAGATGCATAATGTATATTGTCTACTCATTCAGTCGTGTTTATTTCCAATATTTCAACATTCATAAGGCTATAATTGACAGCATGTTTATTCCCAGGTTGGTCGAACGGCGGAGGACATCGCTGCAGATGAGGACACCAGTGACGCTTATCCGTACGACGAATATGACGAAGACCAAATTACTCGTGGTAGAAAGGAAATACTGAAGCTTCTCCGACAACAAAATAATGTGAGTCGCTTACGTGATTCAAAATCATAAAGCATTCTATCTAAAGAATATGATTGAGATGACTGTAAATTTCTTGTCAAACACTTCGGTTCACAAACAACAGCTGATAATATTAAATTACAAGTTGAAGATGATATAAAGTTTTTTTAGTTCCCCTGGTACGCGTGCTAGTATTTGAATGGCTGTATTCTGCTTGGCAGGCTGGAGACATATGCATTATGACTATCATCAGAATTGCGTAGAAACATTTAGCTACAAGCGCAGTTGGAAGGCATGTGATCTATATATAAAGACAGTCATGTATATATATAAATATACATCATGTCTAATTTTAACCTACTGCAATGACTTCAGAAAGAATTTTAGAACCGCCCCAATACCAAACAAAACTCACTTTCACGTGTGCATGTTTACAGGAAGTCTCCACACGTAAGAAAGGCTACGATCCTGTACTCGTCCGGTTCTATGAGGAAAGCGGAATGACAGAGGTGAAGAAGGATTGTCCGTTGATAGAAGAAGCAGCTAAGCAGAGCGGGAAAACTGTAGACCAAGTGAAGGTGTGTCTTTGTGATGACTGGTTGATCCCTTGAGCTTAGTTAGTTGTATCTCACTAAAGGCTAAAACGTTTTGTGCTGATAGAGGAGCTTTAGCTGGAACTCGTAAATTTTCTGTATCAAGAGCCTTATGAAATCGTACTCTGTGCCTCAAATGAATTGTGATTCATCTTTTCGTTGTATCATCCTTGTTAACAGTAATTTGTAATGATTTTTTCAGAACTTCATCGGCAACTATCGTAGGAGTAAGGGCGACAGTAAGCGGAGCCTCCCCACAGACGACATGGGGGCTGAGAACATCACGGGACATCGTGAAGACTTAGGGATGTCGGCAAAAAAGGGTAAGGTGTAACAGAGAACTATTTTATCTGTTGAATACTTGACTCAGTAGATCATTCTATCTCAGACGTCAGCTTTACGTAAGTGCACGAGAAGTAAAGTTATACAATTATAAATGTCTGATAAGATGTTAAAATCTTCTCATCCAGGAGACAGCAGTGTTCCACTCGAAATACAGCTGCGGGGTCCTGGAATGCAGCAGCTGTACTCCCAGGCCTGCCGCCAGGGGGCGCGACCGGTGCACAGCGTGCGCGGGCTCGTGGTTGGTCAGTTCAGATCCGGGAAGACGTGTGTCGTCAGGAGGCTGACGGGAGAGAAGGCTGTGGAGAATGAACCGATCACAGACGGCATCGAGATTTCACCCAGCGTGAAGACCAAGACTTGGCGGAAGGCAAAAGGTCCGAAAACATGTTAATATCTATCACCTGGCACGACATTATAGACCTTGCTACTTAGAGAGTTTGGGCCCATAAGTACGTGTCATGCAATGATACATAATCATTTTGCATCTAAAAAAAGCATATCACAAAACAACAACATGAATACCATGTTTGTTTAACCCTACCTAGATCGGGCTTTTTTTGGGCATGGTGGGACCGGGGGGGGGGGGCTCATTTGACCCCCCCCTCAGAACTCGCGAACGGTATGTCGTATAACCACCAAATTTTTAGAGGATGGTGTACTAGTAAAAATTTATCATATCTACAATTTTTTTGTCGTTTTGACGTAATATGACGTCATTATGACGTCATTAATGTGATTTTATTGGCCAAAACCGTCTAGATAGGTTTCTCCCTGAAACTAAATGGTATACAACATAACTTTACCAAAAGTGTTTAGGGCAGAATATTATGGTGTACTCTTATGTTGCCCATAGCAACACTGGTGACGTCATAAAATGACGTCAGGCATATTTAAGATATCCGCCATCTTGGATCATCAATCTTGAATTTTCAAAAATAGTTTTTTTTCATGATAAGGCCTAAAATACATTGTAAACATACTAAAGACCTTCATTTAGACCTTTTTTTGAAAAAGAAATGGAAGTATTGATTATATTTTAATGAAAATAACCTGTATATACCTGTTCTAATGATATGGTCCGCAATCTTGGATTTTGGCCAATGACGTCATCAAATTAGCATAAATTTTGCATATTTAATGATAAAATTTACATAAAATTATATGGGATGTTATTAATATTAGAAACCATGAGTAACTTGACATAAAAGCTATGAAATTCTATTGAAACAAAAATTACTAAATTTATCAAAAATGCCTGTCAGAAACCCGTTGCCATGGCAAAACAAGAAATCATTATCTTAATCCAATGATACAGAATTGTTGCCAACAATATTCTAGAAAAAGTCACCAAGTTTGGCTGTTTTAGCACTTGCCGTCCAGACGCTAGGTGACATTAAAGTTGGCGCGGGCACTTTTAGCCCCCCCCCCCCCCCGGTCCAAAAATTGCCAAAGGGTTTCAGCTGTAACAACGAATCATACGGTATATGGCATCTATTGCTTACAGAGGAGCCAGACGAATTCAAGGAAACTATGGCAGAACGCTTGGCGGAACAGCAACAAGAACAGTACAAACCACGCACCCGGACATCGTCAGGGGCCCAAGGAGCAGTCAGGAAAAAGTCTACAGGTATCCAATATCACTTTTACATATATCAATATGTACATGTGTGTATTATATACATAGACATAATATACAGATGTACAGGGCGCAAATGTTAACGCACACAGCCAGGACAACGACGGTTAAAAAACTTTTATTTTTTTTTTAAAATTAAAAGCATAAGGTTTTAGTCTTTAATCTAAAATGTATGCACAGAACAAGAGAATTGGCACCTATATATCTTTTTCACGCGTCATCATCTACGTATTGCTAAAGTTTTGTGTCTAGCACACAAAGAGACGAAGGGACAGTGATATCTGACCTTCTCTTCATGTAAGATGCAGAAAAAGCACAGAAAATGACAAGGAAACGGGCGCACCAGGAGAAACAAGCGAAGAACGAGACGCCGACACAAAGTCAACAGACACCAAAACTGGAGGAAGAAGATGAAAAAGAAGGTGAGAAATAGATATTTTCACAAGAAAGAAATGCACATTATAGAAGATTTAGAAAAAAGAACTTGTTGCGTTACGCTAGACCATGCTTTGTTGTAAATGTATGTCTTTGATCCCAAGTTAAAACTATCTGCAAGTGTAGTTATTGGCCTCTAGAGAAAAGATGCAAAAGAATGAATGGCATTAAAATTGTAAGATCGATTGAACAAGACACATCTTCCGTTGCAGGGAGAGACATGCCGGATGATGTCAAAATAAAAGCTCTACAGCGACTTCATAGCGACGTGACGGTTCTGCAGCAAATTCAAGACATTCCGGATGATGTCATAATAAAAGCCAAAGAGCGACTCCAAGGTGGCATGACCGAAGAGCAGCTTGGAACAGCCGAACACCCGCGTCTCTCCCTCTGGGACTTCGGCGGCCAGGCAACTTACTACGGCTCGCACCAGTGCTTCTTCACGTACCGCGGGATCTACATCCTGGTCATGTCATTGCTGCAGAAGCTGTCCGACCCAGTTCCTGATCTGGACTACAAGGCGGCAGCGGACAATCTCGTAACTGGAAGAGGTACGTACTAATATTTTAAATTAACTGTAAACTTACATGGAGACAATGCAGTCGGGTTGAGTGGCAACATCTATGTGAGGACGGTCGACTTCAAAGCTTGAACCTGGTAATTGAAAAGAACTTTTAAAAATCACATAAACGTAATACCATGTAACTTTGAAAAGCTGAAATGATAAGGCAAAGATAATTGCGTACACAAAAATGATAAGACGTCTCTACTTGTCCAGACTACTTGGACCACTGGCTGAACTCAGTCCGCACACACACCCTGGTGCACGGGCGGGAGCAGACAGGAGAGCCGCGTGTTGTTTTGGTCCTCACACACAAGGACAGGGTCGATGAGGTATGGGGAATGTTTTCTTGTCTACGAATGGTCTTAGCTTGTCTTTGCCCTAAAACGTGTAGTTAATATCCTTGGCTGCAAGGTTCAGCCATGGGTTGTTTTCTCAGATTTATAAACAGTACTTTAAGGTCCGTATTTGTATTCTGAATTTCAGTCGGACATTGAGGAGTACAAGAAAGACATACGTGATCACATCAGTGGTAAGGCCGCCGGTAAACACGTCTTACCAAAGATATTTGTCATCGACAACTTCAACGAGGACAACAGCGACATTGACGAGCTCCGAGAATACCTCCGTGAGGTGGCGAAGGGTCTGTGGTTCATGGGCCAGGAGGTGCCGATGACTTGGCTTCATCTAAAGTCCAAACTGATGGACAAGAGGAGAGAGGACGACCCATTCTGCCGTTTCCAAGATGTCATCGATCTGGCCCGGAGTGATGACGTGGGCATCACGGACGACAGCCATGTTGCCGACATTTTGACCTTCCTACACGACCTTGGTGACATCATCTTCATCAACGAACCCGTTCTCCGTGATCACGTGGCCCTTCGACCCCAGGTGATGATTGACGTCTTCAAGACCATCATCACCGTCCCGGAGTACCAACAGGACAGGAACACGGATGGGGAGGTTGCCGAGATGTGGAGGAGGCTGGAGACGGAAGGCATCCTCAGTGACAGGCTGTTGACAATCATCTGGACCAAAGCAGATCAGAAGATGCAGAAACCCTTCCTACTGCGGCACAAGCCTTTCCTGAAGCGACTGATGGAAAAGTACTATCTCCTCTGCAACGCCACGCCGATCGGTGGGTTTGATGACACTTCGTGTGATCCTGAGAAAGAAGAGATCTACTTCGTACCGTCTCTCCTGGCCACAAAGCCTGACGACAGCACCTTGTATCCTGGGCACATGAGGAGATACCAGCATCCTCTGTATGTCGTATTTGACAATATGTTCCTCCCAAGTGGCATGTTCTATCGTCTACAAGCCATTTGTGTGCGCAGGTTCGGTCTTCAAGAGTCCCACGTGTTAGCCGGCTGCGGCCGCTTCCCTACCGACGATGTAAAGCAACAGTTCGTGGTAACCAAAGTGAAGCACTACCTGAAGGTGGAGCTTCTGTCGGCTGAAGACCAGGCAGTGTTCACACAAGCCCTTCCTGTTAGAAAGTTCCTCAGCAGTTGTCTCTTTGAGATCAAGGAGAAGTGGATCCCGTCCATCCAGTATGACTGGTGCTTTGGGGATGAGTCAGAAAAAGAAACCGGAAAACCAGTATTCTACCCAATGTGTGACATCGAACAAGAAACGGCAACGGGATCCAGTCGGTGAGACCGGTTATATTTTCAATTTTTCAGTGAATCAAACCATTTCATTTGATAAGCACAGCATTCTTTTTGCACGTTTATTGAAAAATACACAAGGTATTTACATGCCTTGTATGTCCGTAACATTGCACCGTCAGTACGCCATGTGTGACTGATAGTTTTTATCTCAGTTTTCCAGAAGACTTCATCAATGTCTGGATACGTGGCAGAAGTGATACGACAATGTCCTGTGCAGGTAAAAACATTCAGATGTCTGATTTTGTCTAGCTCATCTTCTTGAAATAGTGTTTTAAAACGTTACTGATGAAAACCTGTTGTACATGTAGAGAACTCAGGTGGTTCCGGACCCGTGATGATAGAGCCCACGCTGAACCCAGACGCAGTCCACACGATCGGCCCTGTCCTGGACTGTATGGAGACCTGCAGAGGGCTGAGTCTGGCGGAGTGCGATCGGATCAGACACGAGCTAACATCCGTCAGCAGGTTTAAAGAGTTGGTTGCCACCGTCAACCGGGCCGGAGACATGTGCCGTCGCTTGCTGGGAGCGTCCGTGGAAGTTTGTCTGCCTGAGAGAGCACCCATGTTCCCCAGGGAAGAGAGAGGTACATCTTCCCTGGCTGTAGTTTGAAGCCTCTGATTTATCTTCCTCCTCCCGTGTTGCTTTGTCCTGTTTAATAGTTTGTCTAACACTTTGTTCATACATTAGAATATTAATGTTCACATTTATTCCCAGGGAACGAAATTGTTCTCCTACACACCGGAGACTACAATGACAAGCTGGTGCAGCCACTGTTGAAACAGGCAGTCCAATCGTCCAACAGGTACGGTGTAACATTGTCTGAAGACGTCATCGAACCAGGAGAAATCATCACAGACAAACTCTTGCACCATCTTCTCGAACGGAACGTCAGAATGGTCGTACCGATCATCACACCGCAGACTCTCCACAGCAGACACTGGTCCACGCTCGGGTACGAATTCTGCGTAGAGAACAAGAACCTGGTCTTTCCGGTCTTCGTGTACCCTGAAGGAACCAGAGAGCGTTTCCTAGAGGTGCTCGGCAGGCGCTGTGCGGGGATGTTGGATATGGCATCAACAGAAGTACCAATGGCTGAAGAACCACTGTCCAGTACCAAAATCAGTCTCACTGCTGCACAAATCCTGAGGAAGGTGCGTTTATATTGGTAGTCATGATCATTGTGCATGACACTGTTCTTGAAAGTCTACTTTGTTTTCAGACAGAATGACTAACGCAGTATTGTTTCTACAGGTGTCGTCTTCTGTTGTGCTGTACACACGCCAGATCACAGCTGCAGGCTGCACGGTTGTGGAGGATGGTGTCACTATCTTCTTTCCGAAAGGATGTGTGAAGAAGAAAAGGTTCATGTCTCTGGAGGTAA